TGAATTTTTCCCGGAATTACCGGATTTTCGTACAAATGGTAAGCGCTCTTGTGCTTCCTGCTGGCGCTGCAAACTGATCGCACCCGCCATTAAAGGTGGTTGTTCAGGCTAAACCAGTATCCAGCAAATTATAGACGCTAAAAAATGTTAGATGCTGCGACCCTTCGATTAGATGGAGGCCATTTCCGAGTTTCAAGAACTCTCACTTTGAAATAGAGGCTAGTTGCAAAACCTTTTATCTGAAAATAAGTTTTAATTGCAGAAGCCAAACATGTTCGTTTTCATAGCATTGATAGCACTTAGCTCCGCTTTGCAACATACACATACGTACGGGGCAACTCCGAATTGGCCTATTTTTCTGTAAGTAGGAAGATGGAGGCAGGAGGCTTTGACAAAAAAAAACTAATAATAATAAATTGCGTTCAGAAATTCAAAGGGTACGCGTTAGAAGCTTCGGAATTTGGTGGGCTGTTTTAATTAGGTGTTAAAACGCTTTTCAGATCTTGCCTGTAAACGCCTTGACAATCTTTTAATGGGCTTGGCAATTGCATAAATAGAGTTCATAACTAAGGCCGTATCGCCTTACATCATAATTTAGCGCAATAGACATCTCCATAGATTGTAGTGTCAAATCTAAAAACCAAGAACGATTGCATAAAAAAACTTCCAAGACCATTGTTACGTTTTTATTATTTTTTCTTTTTTTTGTTGTCTTTTGTATGTGCATTTGTGTGCCATTTCTTTATGTTTTGCTAAGATCATAGGATAATTCGCCACGCAGTATAACCTTTCAAGATGATATGCTGCTTGTTTTTTAAATATCTTGTTTCCAAAACAAATTCCAAAACACTTGTTTCTGTGGGTTTAACAAACTACGACTACGAGCAGTTTCTCTTTTTATGTTGTCCATCGAGCCCTCGTTTTGGCGCGCCTCTCTCGCGGCTTCGCCGCTCCCGCGCGCGTGCACTGCTCTCACTAAATCTAAAAAGGGAGACTGCTTACAGTCTTATAACAAACAACCGTTTAAATGGAACGGTTGAAGTATCCAGAAGCTCACCGTTGCTATTAAAATCACCTTTTAATTATGGATCATTATCAGATAAGGAAAATTTCTATTGGACCAAAACTATGATGACCTCCAAATCAGCATCACTGAGCAGTAGTACTGTGTATTTTGCGTGATACTGTTTGTTCCTCCGAAAACTTTGTTGATTTTCATGAATATGATCCTTGGGCGACCAAGATTGAGTTAGCTCGTAGCTGTTGACATGCTTTTTCACGAGAATTTGGCAGTTTATGATTGATATCGAGATAAGCTAATGAAATAACAAGTACCTCACTTAGTAAAAAAGCCTTCGATATTTGGGATTTCATTTTAGTGCTCGAAAAATTCCTCACTTCTTGGGTCAAAACGCATGAAAACGTAGACGTCTGTCTGCAGTATACCTCAAATCAATTCATGATAACCGCCTTTCGTAAAAAGAAATTATGGGACTAACTTTTAAATACACTCCATAAAAAGGAAAAAAAATTTGAGTTAAAAACTAAAAGCCCATTACAGAACAGAACTATTTACTCTGGACAAAAAATTTCGACCACAATAATGCAACTCATGAATTTAACCACTATTTACTGTTTCTTTTGGATTAGTTGAGTATTAGTTAATGATATAATAACAGGTTATCTGTAAAACCCACAAATCTTGTTTTGCTCGAAATGCTATCGATCTTTCACCATATTAAATGGGTCTAACTGTAGCAGAAACAGTCTAGAAATACGTTTGATTTCAGGGACACTCAAGCATCTGTGTTCATTTTTGAAGAAGGGTAAATGCAAATCTTTGTTATTGGATGGGAAAACATGTTACTTACTGGGATAGGATGTTCGCTTGAGATACATAGCATCATTTCCAAGTATGGCCACGGTTACGGCAATGAGCAAAAAAAGGAAAGTTTTGGCTGCCATATTTTCCTTAGTACGGTCTGCAAGTGCTTCGCCGGAGTTACACCGCTCGATGATTGATCTCGATAACTGAACGCCAAGCCAAGCGTCTTCTCAATTTTTATCCTCTTTCGTAACAATGAATCCTCTCAGCTGTTGAGAACTTAGTTTTGTTTGGCTTGGATATTTTTGCACGCGTCGCGTCTATTTGCCCTTATTCAGTTACATTTTATCTACATCTGCTAATGCGATTGTGGTGTGGAACGCCCCAAGTATGGGGTCAAGTGAACTTCCAACTGCGCCTTAAACGACTGGAATTGTTTAGCAGTTGAAAGTCACTTTTCTGTTCCATCATTTTGAGGTGAGAGTCGCATTTTTCATTTACATTGCTCTATTTACAGAAAGTGTTCATATCAGCATTAAAATATTCGCGACAAAAAAATCCTCATTTGAGCGCTTTGCAAACAACAGGTGTCATATTGTATGATATATCAGTTGTGTGTAGAAGGATGGTATCCATGGAAACCAGAAGCTGAAATAGTCCTTACAGAGTATCCCACACAGTTCGTTCTTCTGAGTTCTGGTCTTACGCGTCACACATACTGATAGCAAGCTACTCACAGCCATAAGTGGCGATTGATGTTTTTCTTCGGCTTTTTTGTCAAGACTAACCCCTGTCATGTAGCCCAAGCTACCGAAATAAGGCCAGCTGTGTTTTATATAACAAATAAAGACTAAAATAGTAGCCTATAAATCTACATTGGGCAGACCATTTAAATTAAAACTACTTTCTTAGGATAATGCGTTTTGAAAAACTTGGCTGCTTTTTTACATTTCGAGGTATATTCGTTTTGTGTAATTAAACCTTCTTGATATCCAGGATATTTTCTCACGATGTTGCGATGCCAACTTGAGTAGCGTTTTTGACCTTTAAGTGAAACACACTTGTTGTGGCGTCCATTTGGTTCATATTTCAGCGTCAGGCTTTTTTAAAGCCTGATCATGAATGCTTGGTAACGGTATCTAGGAAAGGAGACTATAACATACTTTTTCCGCTGCTGATGAGCAGAGCTGATTGTAGTTTTCCCTTGAATGAGCAGCCTTTTTCAGTTCAAGACTGAGGGCGTGAAGGGAGACTAAAAGATTATTCGTTTTGTCTTTTAAATTATTTGTTCATGGGAAGTAAACTCCTAGAATTAAATTGTGGAAGAAAAATTTACTTAAATAAAAAAGGTACGTTTGAATTAATTTGATTGCCACTTTAATTATAAAATCAAATATTATTCACCTCCATCAATAAATAATAATGGTTATTGGTAATTTAATTATGGCACTTTATTTTCGATTATTTAATAATTCAACCGGAATTAATATTTTGGTGTGGGGCGCAAAACTCCCTGTTTCTTAATCTGCAACTGCTGTATGATTGGAAGGTTACTTTTATAGTAGAGCTCTCTAGACGTGACATAGCACTGAGCTGCTCTATTTCCTGACTTGGGAATCTGTCGAGGTTTGGCCGGTGTTTCCTGACGGAATTACTGTAATATTTCAGTGATTGAAACTATTCAAACCGAAACATTACTAGTAGTACAAGCCCAAAGGAATTTCCTTGGCTAGACCCACATACACCCACGTACAGCTGCACGTAATCGCAATAGTTCGGTGTTTCCACCCTTCTCGGTCACCGCAAGCCAACAAATTAGAAATTTGGGTATAACTGAATGGTTGTTCATGTTTTTTGTTCATTGTTTTTTGGGAATCGTATTATATTTTGTGTTTTTTTAAAGACTTTTGCAATTGAAGTTTAATGTTTACACAAACTGAAGAGTGCAAAAAGCCAAAATCAGCAGCACTGCGTTTCATATTGCAAAGTACTTTTAATACTATCCCACTAAATGTAGGTGGACTATTTCGATAACGTTTTTGTTTTGGGAGGGGCTGAGGAATTTGTCAAGCGCGACCAAATTTCATTTCAAAGATCGTGTTCTCTTACTTGACTTTGCTCACGCTTTCATAAATTGTTTGTACAAAAGGATAAATGAAATGGTTTACATTATTAAATGGTGTATAATGGCGTGGGTGAGCGGGTGTGAAAAACGTGCTATTTTTAAAAAGTAAGATGACTGTATTTCTGTTGGCCGAGTACCAATTTTCATAGAGCAGTGTGGTAACAGTAACCAGCATATAAGAATTTCCTGTCTCTTAATTGTGACTATAAACCTTTGTCTGGTCAATCAAAGTAGGTCAATGAAGTCGGTTTAAACTCAATTTAAAACATCTCCAAGTGGCAGGAAACGGATTAAAACATTTGCTAAGTAAGGCAGTGTTGAAGTTAATTAAGGTAAAGGGAGAAGTTTTTACGAGACAGACAAAAAAACTCGCCCCCGCCCCTCAAAGTGAACTCTCTAAGACGGACAGCTTTGAGACCGGCAATATTATATGCGTCCATCATAGAGAGATGCCTGTCTTCTTAAGACGGAACTAAAGAGAGTAAAGAAAGGCAGGGAGCAACTCTAGGTGTCCGTCTTATGACTATACTAGCTTATACTCAGCAGTGGCGGATCCAAACCTTCAGATAAGGGGGGACGCCTGATCATCCAGACCCTGAGATAAAGGGGGAGGGGGGGGGGCGGTCTCGAAAAAAATTTTTTCGGCCCTTTGGGCCTCAGTTTGGTCTAAAAATAAGCGGGGGGGGGAGGGGTATGGTCCCCTCCCCTGGATCTGCCACTGCTAGTCAGTTTACTATGAATTGTTTAGTTTATTCCGGTTTAAATAAATTCAATAAGCCACATGATACAAATTTCACAAGGGTGATTTCCAGGGTTGTCAATCAAGCAGCATTCATCTGAAAACAGGCTCAATTCATGCCATTCAGGAAACACCTTGGTACAAGGAAATTTAAACTGGATCTACATTTTGACAAAGTAGGCATACCGTCTAATTTATGATCTTTAAGCAATTGACTCTCATGACCCTTCATATTACCATTTAATGATTAAAAAGAAATGTAGGGCTATTTTTAACACTATTTTAATCCAATATACGATGCTCTTTTCCCCATCTGTTTTGCTTTACAGCGCATTGTATTTTTAAGTTATCACAGACTTTGAGCTAGCTTTGAACACTGCTAGTAGTAGCTTGTGTCGGTTACTATTAAACATAGGGCTACTCTCACTCAAGAGTTGTATACACCTCCGTGTTACCTACTGCATTTCACACAGGATCTAAGACTTTACTGAGGCTGCGGAGCCCATAAGCAACTTCCACGCAATCGTGTCACAGGGTTTTCAGAGACCAGCCTATTTTTAGAACGGTTTTGGTGCGAATTTTGAATATCATTTAAATTCCACAAACCAGTCAGCAAAACCTACAGACTGACTTAAAAATGATATTTTCGTTTAGTTTCCTTTTTGATATCTTTTACTTCAAATGTGCTCATAGACATGCTGGAGATTCTATTTTCACGGGAAAAAGTGCCCTAAAATCTGTCTAGAAATAAACTGGTCCGTAAAAACACCGTGACATAGGCCTAGTATGGGAGTTGCTCGCTCCTGTTTATGGGCTTCTGACTCAACACATATCTAAGTCCATAGGCTGTGTGCAGCAGAGGGTCATTTTAGTAAACAAATCAATGCAAATACAGACCGAGACGCTATGACAAACATCACTTCTTCATCATTTCAATAAATTCAAAAACCTGAAACAATGTTTCCTGGACTAAAGCTCTTGCGTACATTCTAGCAATTTTGAAAATCTGGATGAAATCCGTTGTGCTAAAAATAGAATCAGCCAAAGCAAATCCGAGCGTGGAAGGAATAAAGCCACGCCCATATTCCACCATCCACGTTCCAGCTGTCCAATGCATTGCTGTGACGTCACCCCAAGTATGATACACAGTTTCCCCAGGGGAATACACACGGCTGCCAAAACGACCCTCTGACCATTGACGATATGATCCAGTGAGTATGGTATCAGAAATGTTAGCCCAGTAACGTCCTGAATGAAAAGAAGACAAATAATGATGAACATCTTGCTTATTTTTCATTGAAAGCCTATATCTCGCTGAAAAATAAGGATATTCTGTATAACCACGATAGCGACGGCACAGTGAAAAAAAACGTCACTTAAAAAGTGAATTTGCATTCTTTCAATCTCTATCACCATTATTCCAACATGCTTAGTTCTAAGAAGGCTAAGAACCATACCCAAATTCAGAAAGAAAGGGAAAACTTCATCGCCCCTTTTTTAAAAATAAATCCTCAAATGAAATTAGGCATTCTCACGTTGTAGTCGTGCACTGATTCATCCAGGATTCTGGATTACACAAGCAAAATTTTCCCAGATTCTGAATTAGGATTCCCTTACAGTACCTGAGGGTGGCAACTGTACAAACTGCTATACCTGAATGTCCTTGGGTGTCCAAAGCTGTTCCAAAGAACAGGACATATTCTGTAAGTGATGCATGTAAGACATACATTGATCCCATCCAGCCACCTGCATTAATAAACAGCCATTCTCTGACCTCCTCAGGCAACACATGGCCAGGATACTTTCTTTCAATTTCTAATGCAATGTTGGAAAATGTGGCAGATATACTTTTATCTGTTTAAATAAGAGATGGTACACAAATTATTATTTCAGTGAAGATCACTATTAAGGGATGACTTCACAAGAATTATTCGTTTCATGTTAACTATAGTCTCCCTCGCAGCCGTTTTTGGTCGTTTTCTTCTCGTCACGTAACGCAAAAAATGAGGAGCGTTGCGTGACGAGACAAAAACGGCTGCGAAGGAGACTCGACTATGTTAACTATGACAACGTTAAATACAGTATTTTCTTCTTTAGCAAGAATTCATGCAAAATCCGAATTCTTATGCTAATGAAGTGTCTGTCGGTAGCCCGTCGGATAAGCGGCATCAGCCGATTACTATATGTAGGACAACACAGGGCCAGAAGTTTGATTCGTTGGCCCGCAAACAAAGTACCAACGGATTCCTAAAATGCAAGCAAGAAAGCAAAACAATGCTCGACCGTTGAGTGAGTATCAAGCTAACTTTGGAAGAGCTAATACATGTAATTTCTGCTGAAACCCAGGCCCCAGTAATTCAAAAGCTGGATAGCGCTATCCAGTGGATAGTGCAATTGGTTTCCTGAATACTTATTTACTAGATAGTGATTAATTAATTTTATCCGAAGGATAGCGCTATCGAACGTTTGAACAACCCGGGCCAGGTACAGTATATAAACATAATTACAAAACCTATTACTTACCCTTTCCGACATGGTGTCTTGCTATCTTTTCAATATCTTTTGCCTGGAAAATATAGCTTTTATTTTTCAACCAATACTGAATACCAAAAATAGCAAAACAGATGAGAACTACATAAGTGAGCACAGACATCCTTCGCGTGCCACCGATTTCGTAGTGTGTGATAAGCGTGACCTGCGTGACATCTGATCGCCCACGAAAAATCATAACAGCGGTCAACATAATTCCTTCCCAGTCTTTCTTCGGATGTATTCAATATGGCGGACGAAGCGTGCAACCTTAGCAAGGACATTTAAGTTCAAGTGATGGAATCAAATTCAAAAGGTAACATAATATTTTTCAGGTCAATAAGGTGTCTTTGACGAGATATTAATTTGTAATGCAACTCTCTTTATGACAATATCACCTCATACTACTTTCCTATCTGTAGTCCTCCCAGCTGAAAATCATCATGTGGCAATTTCTTTAAGCTTATCCCGTTTATATATAATATCCTTTGATAGAGTTCAAACTTTCTTTATAAACTCTTAATTAGTTTGATATTTCTTTCACAGGTATTTATTCTAAACTCAAAGACCCATCAGTGCCTAGGGACGAGAAATTGTTTTCAGCAAGACTTGCCTGGGACTCCAATGATTATGTGATACCCAATAAACAGCAAGTTCTCCTTGACTGGATCATCCAGGAAATTTTCAATGAAAGCAAGAAAGGTGCTAAGTAAGTACTTTAGAAAAATGATTCTCGGTTAGCTCAGTTGGTAGCAAGCTGGTCTGCCGAGTGGTAGGTCATGAGTTTAAACCCCAGCCAGACCATGGTCTTAAGAAAAAAAAACTGGTATGATCTTGCTGGCTTTGATTTAAGATCTTGCCTTAGTTCAGATGATAGCATCTCTGGACGGTGACTTTAGGCTGTTGGCTTTGTCTCCTTTATCGTTCTTTCATTAGTAAGATCGAAGGGAACAAAAAAGAACCCATACTTCTGAGCGAAAAGAGTAGGGAAAGTTTTCCCAGAGGTGTGTTCTACCTTTCACATCTAAGCAATAGAAAACATTTTTGTGTTTGCATAGCCTGATATAAACCCAAGAGGAGTTGGGAGAATTCGAAAGGTTTGCATAACTGTCGGGAATTCTCCCAACCCCTTGAAAAATGCAAAGCTCTTTGTTATCAAGGCACTGATCACAATAAAATTGAAAGAGAAATTCTTACCAGTCGCGAAGACTTGTACACGAAGTCTTGCACAGGTAATCAGTTCTTATTTTGCAAAAAAGATGCTTTCCAAAATATCGATTTTTCTCGCTTAAAATGTCAGCCTAAGCATTAAAAAATTGACACAGCATGTTTGTAAAGATTTTCCAAGTTTCAGCCGATGAGGTAATGGGTAAGTGGGTAAGTAAAGTAAACTTGTCGAGTTTTCAACTAAAAAATCTTCTTCAAAACATCTTGACATCACAACTATGTTTACATACTCTCATGCTATCTTAGTTATTTTATAAATCATTTATATCATGGGCTGGGTGGGTTACAGTAGGCTCATACATGTAAATGGATGATATTGACTGCTAATGGCTTCCTTGTATGCTGACATCCAAGCTTACTGTTAACATGTTGATGAATAATGTAAAGAGGGCATGTCTGTTGTCCTCTCATCCACGTTTCATTCATTCATTCAGGTAAAGTACTATACACAGGTCAGATGTACTTATAAAATTCCTGAACTGCTTATTACTCAGGCATACTGATTACAAGGAGTACACATGTTTGTGGAAGTTACTTCTTCATGCTCTTCAGAGTCAGCAACTTGTTTCTCATGCAAAAATACCCGTCACACTTAAACCCCAGCTTGTCCAGGTTTGTCACCAAATCTCTCAAATTGTAATTTGTGTTATGTAACAAAATACATGTAATAATACTTTGTATGTGTTACAAGTGAAGGCATGCAATCTGCAGTGCTTGATATGTGATGAAAGTATCAAAATATTTGACGATCTGTTCATATTGCCCTTCAGCAGTATGTTTGAAACTAAACGTTGTACATGTGAGACCTTTAACTGCTTAAATAAAAATCAAAATCTGATCTTTTGCCAGTCAATGTGTTAATGACATTATCAAGGATAAGAAAATGTTTTACGTGGAGCTATAATAATTATTATATAGAAAAAAAGAAATGTTGTAAAGTAAAATAAAATATGCAAAAATTGTAAGAATGGGCAAAGTATGTATGAAAGGTATAAAATAATTTATTTATATTTAAAAAATTATCAATTTGAATAAGATACAACAATGTAATGAGTGTGTGTCACAGAACAAAGATAAAAGGTCTGCAAATAGTTATCTGCTGCATTCCTTGTAATTTTGTTCATTGTTTCTATCAGGTATTTACAGATACATTTTTGTGTCAAGAAACTGTTTGGGAAGAGAGCTTTGTAGATGTTGTTACCAGCTGCTGCTTCACTGTTTTGTCAAATACTCAGCTGGCATCTTGTTTGCTGTCAAAGTTTGAAGGTTATGTAAGTGCATAAAACTTTAGTTTTTTGCATGTCGACGAAGGATTGAATTTTGCACAAGGAAAAATTTTTCCTGTTTGGATATGATATACATGATTGTACAATGTATGTCTGACCAAAAAACCATGTTATTCAAACACTCATTGTGTTGACCTTTAATTATTTTCATTAGGCACATTACACTTTGTGAAACATTTAGGTTTGTACTTTCTTTCAGGTGACATTTTTGTCAGCATTGCTATCCTCTTTTGAACCAATATGCTGTGATTCACTAAAAGTGGTCCATCATTTAGTTGAAGTCTGCTTAGAAAATTATCTTCTTGTGCAAAGGCGGCAAGCTAACCAACGAAAGGTGGGTGTAAATCACGATCTAGCCCTAAATTAACCAAGAGAGTTACAGTATGTGTAGATCTGTCATCAGACGACTGACATCTGAGGTCTGTCTTTAGAATTAGACATCAGTCGTCTGACATCAGAGATCTGTCATCACACATAAGACATCAGACGTCTGACATCAGACAGTAGACTTCAGACCTTTGACATTACACGTCTGGCATCAGACATCTGACATTAGACATCTGTCATCAGACGNCTTAGAAAATTATCTTCTTGTGCAAAGGCGGCAAGCTAACCAACGAAAGGTGGGTGTAAATCACGATCTAGCCCTAAATTAACCAAGAGAGTTACAGTATGTGTAGATCTGTCATCAGACGACTGACATCTGAGGTCTGTCTTTAGAATTAGACATCAGTCGTCTGACATCAGAGATCTGTCATCACACATAAGACATCAGACGTCTGACATCAGACAGTAGACTTCAGACCTTTGACATTACACGTCTGGCATCAGACATCTGACATTAGACATCTGTCATCAGACGTTGGACATCATACCTCTGTCATCCGAGGTCTCACATTAGACGTCTGTTATCAGACATCTGTCATCAGACGTCTGACATCAGACGTCTGACATTAGACACCTGTCATCAGACATTTGACATCATACCTCTGTCATCAGATGTCTGACATCAAATGTCTGTTATCAGACATCTGTCATCAGACATCTAGCATCAGACGTATGACATCAGATATCTGTCATCAGACGTCTGACATTTGACGCCTGTCTTTAGACATTAGACATCAGTCATCTGACATCAGAAATCTGTCATCACACATAAGACATCAGACTTCTGACATCAAACATCTTACATCACACATAACACATCAGACGTCTGACATCAGACATCTGACATCAGATGTCTGACATCAAACATCTGTCATAACACATCAGACGTCTGACATCAGACATTAGACTTCAGACCTTTGACATTAGAGGTCTGACATCAGACGTCTGACATCAGACATCTGTCATCAGAATCTGTCATCAAACATCTGACATCAGACGTCTGACATCATACCTGTGTCATCAGATGTCTGACATCAGACATCTGTTATCAGACATCTGTCATCAGATGCTGACATCAGACGTCTGTTATCAGACATCTGTCATCAGACGTCCGACATCTGATGTCTGACATCAGACATCTGTCATCAGACGTCTGACATCAGATGTCTGTTGTCAGTCATCTGTCATCAGACATCTGACATCGGACGTCTGACATCATACCTCTGTCATCAAACGTCTGTCTTTAGACATTAGACGTCAGTCGTCTGACATCGGAGATCTGTCATCACAGATAACAAACATCAGACGTCTGACATCAAACATCTGTCATCACACATGACACATCAGAGGTCTGACATTAAACATCTGACATCAGATGTCTGTCTTTAGACATTAAGCATCAGTCGTCTGACTTCAGAGATCTGTCATCACACATAACAGACGTCTGTCATCAGATGTCTGTTATCAGACATCTGTCATCAGACGTCTGACACCAGACATTGACATCAGCCATCTGTCATCAGACATCTGACATCAGACGTCTGTTGTCAGACATCTGTCTAAGATTGCTTGAAAACATGAGTTATTTGTTAAACAGGCCCTGGGTGTAAAGAAAATGATTTGTAGGAAAAGACCATCATTTCATGCCTGTTTAGATTTTAAAAAGGGAGGAACGGACTAGACAGATGGACAGATGGATGGACTGAAGAGACAGATGGACTGGGTGAAAGGATGGACAGACTGACTGACTGGATAAAAGGGGTTTTGGATGATTTTGGTCAAAATTTTTAAACTTACTTTATTCTTTATTTTTGTGCAAAACTTGCCATGAAATAGTGTTTGGTAATGCTAAGCCTAGATGATAAAAATGGACAGACAGACGGAAATATGGACAGACGTGTGGGACGGACAGACAGACAGGACTCAAGATATCGGGTTCCTACTGTACATGTACAGTGTAAATTTGAGGATTCAGACTAAACATTTCAGATAATTAGGTTTTTTGACCCAGGATAGAGGATAACTTATCCAGCTGTTTTCCGTTGAAGTTCCCGTGAACAAACTATTAAGTAGTCCACCATGATGTGCGGTCAATACAATGTAGGCCATTTTCAAGTTGCTCCAACTTCTGTTTCAAACTGAGGATAAGTGAAAGGCCATTGTAATGAAAATGAGTTTTTATTCTCATGAAAAGAAAATTTATTTTCACAAGTCAGAACGATTTTGAAAGTGAGAATTCTTTAAGGTGGCTATGGTATGTTGTCTGCTTTTGTTGCTGAGTGAAATACGTAGGTTTTTAACAGCATTCTGTTATAATGTTATTATTTTACGTGGCTGACTCTGTGAGGGCAAGGTGAAGTGAATCCTGTCTTCTGATGAGCTACTGGTGTGGGCAAGATGGCCTATCTTGCCTATTTGGGGTCACCTGCTTTATCCTGCTAGAAAAGATTATGATCTGGCCAAATTAATACTAAATTCTTTATTGTTTGGTCAAGATGGCTGAAAGTCTTGTGGGAGCAGAACCGTCTTTTGACTTCTTTTTGAATGAGTTTCCTGCAGAAAGATAAGATTGGCCTTTGTTTTCGACGCCACGTAAAGATCTTTCACCTTTTACGAAAGTTATTTATGCCCCTTACATTCAGTGAGATCAATTCACAAGTGTCCAGTACCATCTTGATGCATCAGCGAAAGAAAGGTGTGGTTGATGAAGCTAATCAGAACAAAGAATGAAGCAAAAAGAGAAGAAGGAAACATGTACTGTACATTATGAAACAACGTGTGAACCTTTGGGCTGAGTACCTAAAAGAAAAGTAAAAAAAACTTACAAATGACAGTATCCATATTAAAAGAACAGCATATCACGTATAAGTTGAATAACATCCTAATTACAGCACAAAAAGCCGAAAATTGTATAAACAAATATCAAAGAAATCACGAATACTAAACACCCAAGACAACTTGACACTGAAAAAAAGGGGAGAAAAAGATGGCCTGAGTAGCCTGTTTTTGACTTCTTCTTGATTGAGGAGGAGAAAAAGAGGCTCTATGGAGTTGCCGCGGTCTGAACTTCTAGACTGGTCAATCTTGTTTTTTCTGGTAAAACGGGTTTTTCAAGGGGCGAGCATCTGTTTATTGACAAAGCTGATGGTCATGACCGAGTTGCTTTACCAAGTGCACTGTTATTAGGCCTGGGTTGAAACTGAATCCTAGTAACATGCAGCGCATGCTCAACAAAGATCTTACTTGATTCAGGCAGAATCTTTCCTAAGTTCACCTAAATCAAGCAAGCGAAGGAAAGGCTTCGCTGGTAGAGTGGCTGAATGTTTGCCTTTTTTTAAAAACATTTTTCTCGTTTTTTTTTTTTGTGGGGTGGAGGCGGGGGGGGGGCATTTTTTTGAACATCGACTTTATCTTGGAGCCTAAAAATGCAAATAAAATAAAACAATAATCTAGAATAAAATAATGAAAGAATCAATGCAGATGAACCAAATTATATTCATTTGGCTGATTATTCATGGACTGGATGACATTTTCTGGCTGGTGTGTAATGATAACAATTAGCAGAGGTTATAATGTACATATTCTTATTCCAGAATACAGCAGACTATGCCTAACTATCATCTTTCTTTTAAAATCAATAGGTGTTTGCTGCCATGTGTCAACAGCTTTTTGAACCATTAGCCATCCTGCGTCATAAGTTAAAGGTACATGAAGTAGAGTTTCAAGGTGAACTTGGTGATGAGCAGCTAAAAAAGGAAAGACACATCTGTGAACTGGTGGAGATAGCCCTGTCAAAATCTCTTTTTCATCGGTAAAAGTTTTCTGATAATTTTATTGAATCGTTCTTCCCATTCTTCGTTCTAGTAACATAGTAATAATTATTCCTCGCAAAGCGAGGTTAAAAATTTTTCAAAAGTCAGGTCGTGTAGGGGTTGCTATGGTTGGTGGAATCTCGGGCTGATGTTAAATATAAACAAGACAAGAATTTTGTTTGTACTACATACAGAAAGAAAAGACATTAAAAAATAACTAATTCTGTAAGGTACAAGCCACCTAGAAAAAGCTAATCTAGCTAGGAGGCATTATAGATTATTAAAGAGGTTGTTTCATGAAGGCACTAGTAGAAAACTATGTAAAAAACAAACAAACAAATAAACAAAGAAAAGAAAAGGAAAAAAACGCACATATACAGACTTGAATCACTGAAAAATTGAGGAACATTTCTCGAGTAAATGACATGATAAAATGGCAAAAATCAGGCACAAATAGACGAAGAAGTAAAAAAAGGGTGAAAAAAGGAAAAATATGATCACTAGGTCGAAACCAAATGGGAGGTCAGAGAAACACGTGCGCCCCCATCAGCTGAAGCATATGTCATTGGGTCTAGTATTGGGTCGGCCTCCTCCTCAAGCGCTTTGATTTTTGCACTTTTGCCACGCACGAACAAAGGCGAGCGTGAAACACGCGTGAGTGACTGGTGATAATTCGCGAGGGAGCACAGGAAGGAGAAAAAAGACAGACTCGTCCATTAACTCCTTCCCGTCTTTCTTTGTACGCAACTTTACATTGAGATAAAGACACCTGGGAACGAGGCAGGTACATTAGGTTGTTTGGGTACTGTTACCTAGTAACATGACCATCACAAACAACAACGCATGTCTGAAGCTGTAATTTACAATTAGGAGCTGTTACTGGCCTATAGGCCCTTTGCAGCTAGCAATTCACGTGGTATAAAACAGCCGTGCTGGAGAGCAAAAGTCGCACTGGGACAAGACAAACAAAAGGCCAATGTCATTTAAAATTTTATTTCTTATGTTTGTCTTGTCTCTTTGAGTCTCTGGCTTCCCAGCACAGTGGTTTTATACCACGTGAATGGCTAGCTCCAAATGGCCTATTGCTCCACTAATTCCAGATTTTGACCAGAAAATGGCTAAACTGCACCGTAAGTTCAAATGGCCTTTTCTGGCTAAACTTCTATGGGTAAATGTGACAAAACGAATACTGACTTTGAGGAATGTAGGTGTTTGTGGTGTAGTAGTATAGCTGTCTTCTTCGGTCGTGCGATAGATTCTGTGGGATGTCTTTTTTGTCTTTTTCTTCNTTTGTACGCAACTTTACATTGAGATAAAGACACCTGGGAACGAGGCAGGTACATTAGGTTGTTTGGGTACTGTTACCTAGTAACATGACCATCACAAACAACAACGCATGTCTGAAGCTGTAATTTACAATCAGGAGCTGTTACTAGCCTATAGGCCCTTTGCAGCTAGCAATTCACGTGGTACAAAACAGCCGTGCTGGCAAGCAAAAGTCCACTGGGACAAGACAAACAAAAGGCCAATGTCATTTAAAATTTTATTTCTTATGTTTGTCTTGTCCCTTTGAGTCTCTGGTTCCCCAGCACAGTGGTTTTATACCACGTGAATGGCTAGCTGCAAATGGCCTATTGCTCTACTAATTGCAGATTTTGACCAGAAAACGGCTAAACTGCACCGTAAGTTCAAATGGCCTTTTCCGGCTAAACTTCTATGGGTAAATGTGTGAAAACGAATACTGACTTTGAGCAATCGTAGGTTTTTGTGGTGTAGTAGTATAGCTGCCTTCTTCGGTCGTGCGATAGATTCTGTGGGATGTCTTTTTTGTCTTTTTCTTCCTTGGCTTTTCTCTCCCTTTTTTCTTTCTGTTGGATCCTTTCCCTAAGCTTCGGGAAGTTCTGCAAGACACGTATTTCTAGTTTTATACTACATGAGAAATTTCGTCAATTTGATTGGCTAATACCAGTGGTATTTCAGCTTAATTTGAAATACCCATATGTGCACATTACAAAACCTTTGCGAGCAGTAGTATAAACAAATAATAGAATGATTTGTACGTGATAGTTAGCATAAATACCACCAGTGATATTTCAAAATTGTCTCAAATTATGTATAACAATTTCGAAATATCACTCGTGGTATTTATGGCAAATATCACTACAAATCGTCTTTTTCATTATCCTTTGCATGTAATAGGGATCATTTAGCAGAGTATCAGCAAGCCTTGAAAGGAGTGAGAGAGGAAAGGCAAACGGAGTCTGAAGAACCCTCCAAGAAAAAGGCCAGGATTTCCAGCTATCCTAAACAGCTCTTTGACAAATTATGGGAAATTTCGTTGGATTCAGTTTCGGCAGTGAGTAAACATCTATTCCTTTTTGATAAAAAATAATAATAATAATTGAAAATAATAAAAATCCAAATGTACATAAAAATAATTTTAAAAAACCCTCAGTACTGGTTACATGTATTTAAATGTTTCTATAACCTTAAGAATAAAGATAAGCGAAAAACGTTTAATAACACACCGTTTCGACGTCGCCATTATCAAGTGACAAAGATAAAACTAAAAACTGACTTGATGTATACAGTTTAAAGTGACAAAATAAAGAACAAAAGTAATATGTTTGTTTGTTTATTCTTAAGTGTTTAACAAAATTTAACTTGTTTCTATAACCTGCCAGGATCATGAATCTCCATCTTTAAATTTCTAATTATTTTGTTGGTTTAATACATGCAGGTAAACACGGTGCGTGCAATGAAAGATGTCGGAAGAAAAGCATTATTGGAACTACTCCCTTTCCTGTTGAAAGAATTTATTACCTCCAGTAGGTTAGTAATGTTCTTTATTTTTGCTTAGTTGGTTTATGCCCTGTTCACACATATCCAGATATTTTTGAAAACGGAGACTTTCTTTGTCCGTTTTAACCTCTCGTCTACACGAACAGGTAAACGGCCTTTTTGGGCATTAAAAACTATGTTATCAAAAGCGGTTTCTAGAGTGGAGATTTTTGAAAACGCCGGCTTCTCATTTACGTGTGGACGGACGAAAACAGAGGTTTTCGAAAGCGAAAATACATGTACTATCATCACAGATGCTCTTTAAGGGATGCTATGACATTTCCATAGTTTTAGCTTTTTCATGTGGACATGCGAAAACTATTCAAATACGCTACATGTGGACGCGTATTTTTTTGAAAATGGTGAAAAAAAATATCCGTTTCCACAAATATCGGCGGATACGAGTCAACAGAGCTATAAATGATAATTGAAGAAGTTCATGTACTAAACCAAATAGGGGAAATCATGCCCAATTTCTCGAACGGTAACCCTCGATTTCTCGAGCCGCTAGTAATTGGCCTTCGGACCCGAAGATGTGCCGGTTGGCAGCCGACCTCGATGCACCTTAGCCCAGGCGACAAAAAAAACACCTTGATACCCAACCAGGATAACCTCCAAATAACCCAAACTGATTTCCATCCTTAGTCATTTTAGCCCGATTAATTTTGTTGAACCTGCTAATAATTGAAAATGTTTCTTTTTTCCCATGAGCCGATTTGAAAAAAAAAAACAGGGTTAGATTGTAGTTTGAAAATTGTTTTATTTCCTCAACAGAAAAATGAATAAATCGACATCTTCGACAGAGTTTGACTTTTTCACTGAAATGTGTGAGATTATGGGTGTGTTAAATGGCAGGTGTCAGTCATCTGTTTGCACCTTACTCCATCAGATGCTGGAATGCATACTTTGGCAGGACGTTTATCAGGTGAGTAATACTTTACACTTTGATAATGTAATGCATGTAAGAGTCAAATAAATCACTGTAAAATCCCCCACTACGGAATTGTCAGCCCGGAAAGAAGGTTAGAAATCAAAAGTTTTGACTGAGCACTCTCTTGTTTTGCACTTACCAGAACAACATAACTAAGCTAAACAATGTTGTAATAATAGCTGGAATTTTTTTCCCAACAGCGCGCGCTCTAATTGGTTACTTCGAGGTCACATGGCATCTAACAATGAAACTGTTTCCCGCCAAAATCTCTGAGCGGGTATCATTACAAAAATCTATGACGTCACGACCGCCGTTACAGCGAGGTTCAATAAATTTCCAGCTACAGCTCTGTATAACAAATCAGTTTAAGACTGGTCCCTCGGGAAACAGTTAAGTTTGTCTCCCTCGAATCTCAATGTTTCCCGCGGCTCTGCCACGGGAATCAAAATTAACTGTTTCCCTCTGTACCAGTCACTAAGTGTTTATTATTTTCCTGCGTCATCTAGACAGATTATATTCAAATGCGCCCGTAATTACAAAATATACGTTGCTCCTTGAAACCTAGTCAATGTTCTCTGTATATCGTTTACACTGTTTGATGATCATTATTATTTTTTAGGTAGCAAATGACAATTCAAATGGCTCTGTACAGTTCCTTTGGCTTGAGAAGTTGGTAAAAGTTTTAATTCACGAAGCCGAACTTTGGTAAATATTTTATATCTTCGCACAAGACGTCATTTTGGAGATTTTCCCGCTATTTTTGTTACCCAGACGGGGGCTTTGCCTCTGGGGTTTCTTGGTGACGTAATACAAAAGATCGAATAGATACTGAACAATACACTTACAATAGTTTCCGTAACAACAAGAAACCCCGTATTTAGCCTAAACGGGTATCTGCCATCCTGAGTTCTTTATTTTTGTTATTGTTATTCAAGCGATGCAGTTTTTCGGTGCCTTGATGTCTTCTTGAAACTCAATCACTCCTTGCTCGAGCCACGCTTGGAAATTATTTGGAAGATGCTGTGGAAGCCGGAAGAATATGGTGCTCAACATTCGTTGATTTCTTCTCTTATCACAACTTATGTTAAATTACGTCAGGTATGTAAAACATATGAACGTATCGCCGTTAATGTTGCATTTATGACAAGAGTGATTTTGTAGCAGTTATTCCCTCAAGTCGTTTCTCCTAACAAAAATGTCTTTTGTTTGTGGCTTTTGTTTTTGTAGTTTGATAAACTGGTTGTCGCAGTTTTAACTTCATTAAGAACCCTGGAGTCTTCATCATTTGGTCTAACACCACTGTTTAAACAGAGGCAAGTTATTTTGCTTTTTTTTGTTTTGTTTGTGGTGGTGATGCTGGAGCCAGGGCTCGTGTCCAGGATCTCTTGGTCCCGTTCTAAGAGACCCTGGGAACAAGACTGCAGTAAAACCAGCCTGGCGCTGGATGTCGACTTGCAATCCAGAGGTTTGTGTTCAAGCCATGCCCTGACCACAAGTTGGAGTCTAGCTGATTATTGGCCACGAGTTTAACTTCTTGGGCACGCTCTTAAAACTCTACCTGGTTTGTTTGCTGCCAGTTGGGAGATTTTACCTTGTTTCGAACGTTTCATTTGAAGTATTTGTTTATTTGTTGTTCGTGTTGATTTTGTTCGAATGTAAATTCTCGGAACGAAAAAGTTGTTTATTTCCACTAGAAATGGAAACAGTGTAGATAGAACCTTGTACCGTTGGCAGCCGGGTGATGGTTGTCACAATAAGTATTCAATCGTACTATTTGCTTGGTTATTGTTTTTTTTTTTTTTTTTTAAAAGCCAAAATGATAAAAAAAACAATTTTTTTAATTTTTACATTTTATTTTATAGTTTTAATTTATTAGCCTCCCATTTTTTCACCTCCCTTTTTTAAGGAAAACGAAAAGTTTATACCAATTACCAGTTTTTCCTTATTTAGGTTTCATAAACGC